CGACGATGCTATGCCAAGTTATAGTGCAAAATCTAGGAACGGAGTTTTATACACATAGTAATGGAATTTTCACCAGTAGACCCTATAGAGACAAAGGGTTTTACTATGGTTTTGACAGACAGAGACTTCACAATACTTCAGGATACCTAAGTCCAATTTAATCGACATTTCAATTCAAAGAAAGTAAGAAAACATAGATATTCTTGGTGTCTAACGGTGAGAAATTAGAGCGTTTTCAAGTCTGGAATTACTTTGATCGAGCAGCATAATTTGCAAGAAAATAATGCTTTCCGACCTGGTTGCCCTATCAGAACTCATAACCGGCTCTTCCCCAACATACAAGATACACAACTCAGCGGCAGGAACCCGCCAGAGAAAAACGCCTTCATCTTCACTGTGGCTCTCTATCCCTTCCGATTTTCGCACGTTCTTCAACACACGTTGGTCACCTTCGCAGAGCAGCCTAGGCTCTCGACCTGATCAATCCCGTCCGAATTACATATTTCGAGCAAAGTAGAGTATGTGTAGAATGCACTTGGACAGTGGGAAGCCTTGGACACAGCGTCGAGGACAGTAGAGCGCGTCGCCACTGGCCACATCCAACTCTAATATCAGAGAGTGAGCGGTAACTGCTCCCCTCGTGACCGTTTATACGCCTTGCTAATCAACTGGGCGATGGGTCCTGGCCCAGAGAACTTGTCGAATTCAAGCATCTTTTCCTTTGTTTTTCTCCTTTCTTCTCCCCCTAATTTTTCTTTCTATCTTTTTCCTTTTGTCTCCTCTTTTTCCCTTGAACAAGGCGCTAGTTGGCGAAGAGTATAGACAGCACATACATACCGTACCCAGAGAAAAATCGAGCATCAGGCATAGACAAAGCCGGGCCGGTAGTCTTCTCCTGCTACAGCTGTCTCAGGCTTGGGATGAGCCCCGGATCCTGATTTTAGTGAATGTAAAGCATGATCAGGCTGCTTCAACATATATTTACTCTGCTCCGACGTCTATGTTGGCATTCAGTGAAATGTTCCTCGAGCCCGAGTCCCGGAGGCACCATATGTTGCTGGGTAGCAAGTGTGAGGAGAAGAAGGTCCGAGTCGGTTTTCACTCCGAGGGCACGCACCTGATTGTAGACGAAACGATTGACTGGCCAAGTTTGTTAAATAGTAACGGCAAGGGTAATGGCTCCCCTGAGCTACTGAGCTGCCCCTGATTACGTGCTTTCCCGTCCGATGCCGGTGAGTGTTACTGTGGATTTCTAAAAAATATATAGTAGCAGTCACGAGAGTCGGTACACTCAGCCAGCCATGATCTCAGGTTGCTCGGGTCGAAAGGATTCCATGATTGGGCGTGGGCATGGAAATGACTACCTCAAGCCCATGGCCTTGCTAGTATTCAAGGCGAGCGTCTGTTCGTGCCTCTTATATAAGAGGTACTAGTTCGATTGCTCCAGTCCGATCTAATTGACCCAAAACCCACTGAAGCAATACGCCTGCCAAGCAAAGCGAACGAGATAGATAAGAGCGTAAGTGTCATATCTCTTGAGCAGGAACCTAAATACGCCACAATGATCATACGTATACCTTTTATTAACTAACCAACCAAGTATCTACCCACATGACCTCTCTAGAACTCATCCCGCAGCGTAAGGACTCATCTTGCGCAGCCGCTCCCCGAACCGCCACAACAGAAGCGGCGCAGGGATCCCCAGCCCAATCGACACAAACGCTAACAGACTATTGCCCCACCCGTACCCGAGCGCCTGGTACATGTAGCTCGCGAACAGAGGGAACCCAAAGCCGGCCAGCGAGCGCATGCAGGCCACGGCGGCCAGGGCACTGGCCGCGAAGCGCGTGTACGAGTCGACGATGTACGTCTGCACGCACTGGAAGGTGATGATGTTGCCCAGCCCGTACAGCATCGCGCCGATGTTGGGCGCGATCCAGTGGCGGTGCGTCTCGGCCGTCCAGCCGTAGAAGAAGAGCCCGGCGGGCACGAGCACGGCGCCGAGGTACAGCAGCGGGACGCGGAATTCTGGCCGCCCGACGCCGCCACTGCGGGCCTTGAGGCGGCGGTAGATGCGGTCGTTGAGCGGGGCGCAGAGCTGGGAGCCCAGCCAGAAGCCCAGGCCGAGCGAGATGTAGTTCAGGCCGCCGATACCGGTGGATTCGTGGTAGTACTCCGGGCTGGTCCACAGGGTCGGGAACGTCGCGAGCACGAGGTACATGGTTCCGTAGATGTAGGCGAGGTACAGCGCCAGCAGTTGCACGATGGGCTGCGTGCCGAGGAGTCGGAACGGACGCATCAAAGCGCTCCGCATCACCTCGCCCAGCGTGCGGTTGGCGCGTTCGTGTTCCGTCTGGTAGGCTTCGTCGGACGTCTCTTTACGCAGGCGCTGGGCGCGTTTGCGGAGAATCACCGGCGCGTAGGTCTCGCGGAGGAAGAACAGACCGGCGAATTGGATCATGGCGTCAGCGATGGAGGTGGCGTAGAACACCCAGCGCCATGTGGTATTCTCGGCAATGAATCCACCTGCAATGGGGCCGACGGCGGGACCGAGGAGCGGAGCTAGGCTGTAGATAGCGACACTTTTGCCTCGCTCTTCGGGTTTGAAGCAGTCGGAGAGTACACCGCCGCCGATCTAGCACGTAATTAGCCACGAAACAGATATCCAGTCAAGATGCAGCACTCACTGCCAACGGGGCACTTCCGCCCAGGCCGGCCAAAAACCGGAAGACGATCATCTGGGCCTTGTTCTTCGAGAAGCCACAACAGATGTTGAAGACGAGGTAGAACAGGTTGGCGAGTTGCAGCACAATCACCCGCCCATAGATCTCCGACAGCGGACCCAGGAACAGCGGGCCGACCGCGTACGCCAGCACAAACACCGACAGTGTCATGCTGAGGGTGACCTCGTCCGTGATGTGAAAGTCCGACCCGATAGCCGTCAACGCGGGTGCAACCATGGACGACGACACCGGCGAGATGAAAGTGAAGCATGATACCGTGACCACGGCCGCCCACTTCTTCTTCATTGGCCAGTTCTTCGGATTGTCGGGGTCATCGGGCCCATTCCAGGTCACCTAATAAGAGGAATATCAACCATCTAGATCACGAAAAGTACAAGAGCAGCACATACCAGCTTAGGATCATTTTCAGACCGTGCCGTTCTGGACTTCTCCAACGCCGCCGCCGCCGCCGCCGGCGGGCCAGCAGCTTCCAGATCGCGATCTCGCTCATTCACAATCCCACCGCGGACCTCCACAACTGGCTCGGCGCTCTTCTCTCCATCTTCGTCAGGGTCCGTCTCTAGCGCATGGTCACTGTGATACACGGACTGATCATCCAGATGTTTTCCCGAATGAACCCTATCGATCTGTGCCGTGCTGTGCCTGGAGCTAGAGCGCCGGAAAGACCCAAGCCTATATGGACGCTGTGGCTGGGTGCCCGGCTCGGTGCTAGATGAAGAGGACGAGGATCTCGACCGCGTGGATCTACTCGACTCGGATGGTGCAGCGGGTTTGGACATTACCACCAGATTAACTCACCCACACATGTCAGGGTGTATTGCTTGGCGGCCAAGAAACCAGAAAGAGGACAGAAGAAAGCTTAGCGGCTACCAGAAGGAAAGAGGGAAAATTCGAGAAGCACACCAAGGGTAAGAAAAACCGGCGGGCCGCAACAAGATCTGGGGACACTCCATTGTTATAAGCCCTACTACCTATCAATCAAGGGAGATACGAAAACCCCGACAGTGGGAAAAAAAGAGAATTCGGCGACCCAATTGGCAGCTACGCAGCAAGCAAGCAAGCAAGCAACGTGCGGTGATAACAGACAGATTAAGTCCGGTGATGAGTTTTTGCAGCAGCAGTCCATGATTGTGTACTTCTTATTGGCTGCAGAGTGGTGGAGTGACTGTTTCCAGGCAAGAGGTGGAGAATGCGTTGCACCCGAGGCGGCCTGGGCCGAGGCGACGCTGGCCGAAACAGGCTAGAAACTGGGAATGATAAGAGTCTGCGTTGTTGCGGTGACTGCTGGCTGCGTTGGTCATATGTACGTCGATATGATCGAAGGTTGCGGGTGAACCAAGTGATAAGGGAGAGCGAAAACAATGAGTCGCAAACAGGGAATTGGAAAGGTTGGAGGAATGGACGGATCGAAGCATTCTGGATGAATACGGCTATTCGGAACTCGGCACCATGTCACCTGGTTTATTCTCCGCCTGTCTCAGTAGACCACCGCTAGAATCACAGCCCTGGTTGTCAGGCAGAATTACAAGCTGACACATCCTCCGTTACGTCACTGGTCAATCTTCCTCCGCAGCTCAACTCATTGAATTAGCACGGCTGCTCTGCCTATTCAACTCTTCTATCCTCTCGAGCACAGCCCCCTTTTCCTCAAAGCCAGTTTCAGTTTGGTGGAAAGCCGTTAAAAAAGAAAGAAAGAAAGAAAGAAAGAGAAAGCCGTGGTTGACAGTCCGACTATGGCGAATCCGGGTACATCTGGATATATACAGGGAATAAGATAGCGTCAACGACAGGCAGACACATGTACCAGCAAGCCACTCCCAAACCACAGCCATCACCTTACCTGAATCTCTACCTGAGCACAACAAATCATTGGTCACGAGGTTTGAGTGGGCGCCACTAGTGGATGGATCAAATGGCTGCAGGGCAGCATCCAAACGTTACATACTTTAAGTATAACAAGATAGAACTAAACTTAGATTGAGTAAAGTTGAAGATTACCGACTGGACGGTCAGACCGGAAGTCTCCGCAGAGGCAGCAAAAAACAGGCTCAACAATCAATTAGGGCTGGTCGTCCCCGAGGCCACCGGTCTCCCATGTGTTTCGTCAGGGCGATCTTGGAAGCCTATCGCATACTATGCATCATTTATCATGGAGTTTATACTGAACTTGCTCTTGCTCGGGGTTGCTGTTCCTGAAATTGTGCAAAATGAGCCCTCCTACGTGCTACACTACGCAGTCCAAACACACTGGCCAGCCAAGTATCAAAAATGACCAAGTGACTGTCATTAGATTTGCACTCACCCAAAGAGCAAGTGAGTAATTAGAACCATTAGTACATAAGCGTAAACCCATGGGTATTCATCCGTCCAAATCCTAAAAGCACACCAGCGCCTCACAACCTTCACTACCAACACCTGCAGTCTCTCGCAGCTCCCCTAAACCTCCTGGTGAATCACCTCAGCCTCCGCCTTCTCGGCAACGGTCTTGTCGGTGATGCCCATCTCAGAGGCAAAAGTGCCGTGGGGCTTCCATCCTGCCGAGGTACGGGGGGTGGTCTCCTCCATCATCTTATCAACCTGCTCCAGGGTGAGACCCTTGGTTTCTGGGATGAGGAAATAGGTGTAAACGAAGCAACAGGCGCACAGGGAACCCCAGATGAAGAACACCTTGGCGCCCAGGTCACCCTTGTCCTTGTCGACCATGTAGGGGGTGATGACGGCAATAATCTAGGAAGGGGTCAGACGCACGAACCCAAGACACATCGGGGTTGAAGACTTACGCAGTTCCAGAGCCAGTTAGAGGCGGTCGACAGAGCCACACCGCGCGACCGAACGGGCAGAGGGAAGATCTCACCGATCACGACCCAAGCACCAGGTCCCCAAGTAGAGGCAAAGAAGAAGATGTAGATACAGATGAACGAAATCATAGCACTGACGGCTGACTTGTTACTACCGTCAGTGACACCGATAATAGCGACGATGAATTGACAGATGACCATGCCCAGAGCACCCCACAGGAGAAGTGGACGGCGACCGATGCGTTCGATGGTGTAGAAGGAAATGGGGGTAGAGCAGACGTTGACAATAGTCGTGATCATGCTGATGAGGAAGGGGTTGGAAATGGTTCCAAGCTACCGGCCATGTTAGAAAAGCTCATGGTTGGGGAAAGGAGCAAACTCACCGACTGGAAGAAGGTAGTTCCGAAATAGAAGACGAAGTTGACACCAGTCCACCTTAGCAAGTCAGTATGGGCGGGTCAGATAATCCGAAGCGTACTGGAAAGCTTACTGTTGCATCATCTGCAGGGAGGTACCCAGAATAGTCCGACGAAGGTTGCTGTTAGGAGTCCAGAGGCTACCACGGAAGCAGTTGAACCAGCTGCTGAAGAAACCACTCTGAGGGATAACCTGCATTTCATACTCGTGATTGGCGACAATCTCCGCAAGCTCCTCCCGGATGTAGTCGGAATCCTGAGGCTGGCCGCGGACACGTGCCAGGACTTCAGCGGCCTTGTGGAGGTCGCCCTTCTTGACAAAGTAACGGGGCGACTCAGGCAAGAAGAAAAGACCAATGCCGAGAATCAAAGCCCAAGCCATCTGGAGACCAATAGGAATGCGGTAGGAACCCGAGTCGGTACGGTTCTCCGTGCCGTAGTCGACACAGGAAGCCAGCATGAGACCGATGGTGACACAGAACTGGTATCCTGACACAATGGTACCACGAACCTTGCGGGGGGCGATCTCGGACATGTACAGGATGATGATGGCGGAAACGAAACCGACACCAAAACCAGCAATGAGACGGCCTACCACCAACAGAGCAACACTGCTGGAAGCTGTCTGCAAGATGACACCGATAATGAAGATACCACAGCCGCTGATGATGGTGAACCGACGACCGAGCCAGTCAGACAAGTCACCGGCGATGATAGCACCAAAGAAAGTTCCAGCAGAAAGGATCGAGGTAATCAGAGACTTCTTCCAGGAGGGCACAACGAATTCATCGGTGGGAGTAGTAGCATAATCCTAAACCAGCTGGGGTTAGTGTCGCGTGACGGAGTTGATGGGGATCGCAGAGGCAGAAACACATACCAGACCCTCGAAGCGTTCGATGAAGTAGCGCATACCCATGACACCACTGATGTAACCGGAGTCATAACCGAAGAAGATACCACCAAAGGCAGCAAAGGCACACATCAAGTAGGCCTTGAATGTGACGGGGGCCTCGACCCGCTGGCCGTTCACCGTGCCGTCAGCCATGATGACTGGTAGGAGTTGAGCAAGCTGTGGTGATGTGATACTCTATGTAAACCAAGAGGTATAGACAGAGAGATAGTCACGGCAAGGAAAGACGTATGGCACAGGTGTCGAACAAAGACACACCAAGGAGATGAGCAGTGTGAAGGTCGAAGGAAGAGAAGGAAGAGAGTTGCGGTGAGCAGATGCACAAACAAACCGGGGGGGCTGCAGGCGATTTTATAATCTGAAACCCGATCAGGAAGGGAAAGGAAGAGGGAGAGGGGAAGAGGATTGCATTCGGGCCAGACCCGGACCCGGGGAAGAAAGTGGATGGAAATTGCCCACGGGGATTACCCCAACCGTCGGGATCGTGAGGGAATGCAGCAAGAGTGCAGTGAAGTGAGTGAGTCTCCGTTCCTTCCCCCATTCACTTGACTTCTTTTTGCCTTCGTCTTGCCCCGATTAGGAATGGACCCTTTCTCGGTCAACGCCGCCATCTTCAGCGATTTGCCATCGTTCCGAGGACTGCCCGAGCAGACCCTCACTAGCTGGATACTAGAAACTTGACCAGTCTAGGGTCTGGTGCTCCTCGCATTCCTTCTCGATGACAACCGCTCCCGAGTCCAGTTTTGGAGCCGAGGGAGTCCAACCCTGGGTTTGTGTTTCGGTATCCACTTTGTCAAGTACAGTGTACTTGGAAGTGGATGGAAGGGTGGTTTTCTTTTTTTTTTTTTTTTTTCTCTTCCAGCCGCACATGGTACGACCGTAAGCATGGTTATTACTAGTTGTCGCTGGTTTAAGGCTAACCTACTATACTCCGATTAGTTCTAGTCAGGCCAGCCCAACCAGCGAGACACTATATACAGTACTCCCGTACACCCCTGGGGTAAATGCAGGGCATGTTGACTAAGTGGGAGACTAGGTGTGTGTTTGCAGCAGTAGTTTGGGGTAGTAGTAGTACTCCAGAGCAGTAGTACGGGGTAAGATCCCGATTCAGTCAAAAGGCGTCAACCATGTGCCAGGCGGGAGGTGCCTCGGGCTGACTGGACTGACTGTCTGTCTTTCTGTCTGTTCTCTTCCATTCTCTCTCCCTCTCCCTCCAAGTTCCAACTCTATTGTTCCAGCCAACGAAAGGCTCGGGTCATAACCGGCGGGCCACTCGGGCAAGGCCCTCTCGTCGCTTGAAGAACCACCGCGGTGATTGGGTGGAGCGAGCTGGGGTCGGAAATTTTCCCCTACCACGTGTGCCGTCTGGGGGGGTCAGGAATGAGGTCTCCACCAGCACGGGGAGGGATTGGTGAACAATGCTGGATTTTAAGGTTAGGCGCTGGGTCGGGGCTAACCGACTTCAGCTCCAGCCCGGGGGTCTAGTCTCAGACAGTCAGACTCTCACTCCCCTCCGAGCCCCCATCACGAGTTCCAATCCGGGGTTGAATTTTTCAGGTAAGCGAAATGCCCAGACCTGGAAACTGCAACCCTAAGCCCAGCCTGAAGCCCCAGGGAAACAACTTGCGTCTGACCACCACTGACCAACCACTACTAATTTAGATTTACCTTACCATCGAGATGTTCTGTAACCTTTTGACTTTTGGATTTGACTTTGAGATTTGCCTTCTGACATCTTAGCTTTCTTTTGTCATTTATCGATCGGATCTGACCGACATGGTGGGAGTAGTACACGTATCTAGGATCTGGGATGGTAGACGAGGATATCGCCACGGACTGGGGGGAGTACAGCAGGCCCAGAAGCGAGAGAGCGAAAGAGAGAGAATCGGGAGGGGGTGACATGCCAAGAGACTTGGCAATCACAAAGGTTGCACCCGCAGCAGTTTTTTAATTTTTTTCTCTGTTTTGCCCCTTGGCACCACCCACCCGACTTTACCCCCTCCTCCCCCTCCCCAGGTTTGTTGTGCCCAGTGTTTGTTGTTGGTCCCTCCCCCGTTCCTTTCAAATGCGGGGGGAAAGAAAAATCGGAGTTGAATCCCGTGCACTTCTCTCAAACTTCCAATCCATGGATCTGTTCCGGTGAGTGTTTAGCGTTAGGTAGCAAAGGAATATGACAGTCAATATGAACTCATATCATTGCTGTAAGCTAAGGTAGTGCTGTGATCCCGCTACAAATAGCTTACCAGGCTACCAGCAGGATACGAAGGGCATTTTCCTTCCCAAGACCGTGGAACAGACCTCATTGGGCGTATTCGCGCCACCTCGTGTCTTGGCTGGGTTTTTGCCGTGTGGCACACACACACACACACACACACATTCTGTTTCTCTCTGTCACCCACCCACCCACCCCATAACGCTCCTTTCCGCCCCCAGACTTGTCCTTCCTTCCTTCCTTGCTGGCTTGCTTGCTTGCTTGCTTGCCGGCTTGACTAGCCTGCTGGTTGGACTTTTCCCTGGTAAAAGTGGGAATGGTTTCGGAGTCGGGTTTGTTCCCGGAACTGCTCCTGGGACCACCATGCACCCTGCAAAATGGTCTGATGCGGTGTCATGATTGTGTATCCCCCCTTCCGACCACATCTGGGGATTCTCTTGGCAACTTGAAGTCATTTCGGTCGGCTTCTCGCATCGAGTCACGCCGCATTTTCACGGAACCGAACAACGGGACTACTACCTAGTACCTAGTAGTCATTGGTGACTACTATCTTGGAACCCCCGGCCCTGAGTCCTCCTCCTCCTCCCCCCCCCCCCCCCCCAAACCTGACTCTCTGCACAACACACCAATCAATCCCTGGCATCGATCATTCCATGGTTCAGAGCATCGGAGACAGGTAGCACCGTGACTGGTCGTTACCCCGGGGAGGAAGAAGCCACCGTTTGGATGCACGAGCCTCTTCCTCGCTACTAGTTTGGTTGCGCTGGCGGGTTGGCCTCTTGCCTTTTGAGTCCTGTAGGGCCGAATGGTTGGGCATGATCCAGCTCCAAAGAACGCCAACGGGGAAAAGACCAATTGCAGCTGGGGTTGCGGAGAAGGGACATCGTCCCCGTGTTTTGCTCCACGCGAACAATCCCCGTCCCAAGCTGGCTCTTCTTGCGCTTGTCATGCGCATACTAATTTCAATCCTCCCATCCCGAACTTTCTCCATATTACTCATTACTCCACACCGGGACAGGTCTTAACCTCTCACATCGTATTTGTTTATTCGTGTCTCAAGCGAGACTGCTCCCCTCTGTCTAGTATGTCCCCTTCAACCCCATGACCTAGACAAGCTTGCGCCAATCGATATGGCTATTCCATAAGCTTCCTCGTCCTGCAAGTGGCCGCTGACCCACAACCACGCGACCCCCCTTGCGTGCATTCTGGGCCCGTTGGCAATAGACTAGGTGGGATTGTGTGGCTTTAGGCAGGGTGTGGGGTGGGGGTTCGTTCTTGGATGGACAGCAGACTCGGCACTTGCTGTCGGATATCATGCTCCATAGAGAGCGAAGTAGAAGTCTTGGCTAAGACAATTGAGTAAAGCCTGTTTCTGAAGGTTTCGGCCACCATTCCCAATATTCCCAGCTTGGTGTCCGTTCCAATCTCCCGAACCTGGAACATTTCTTGAGATATGGATACCGAGTTGTGACTGGAAAGACTGCTCTTTTACATGCCGACCATGTGACTAGGTACCGGGGTCCACCATTTCCCACGCCGGGGCTGCATCTTTGAAGCCGCACCGGACTGGCTTTGCCTTTTTCATAGGGTGATAAGACCTAGGGGAAAGGTGTTGACTCGTGTGGGTAATCCTTCACCTATGGACCTTGATGCACGGGCTGTGACAACGGCATGCCATTTCCCGAATCCTAGATCAAAAGCTCGAGATTGCGGATCCCGACGCGATGCCGAGAGAGACCGCTGCTCATTTTACTGCCGATTAAGTAATCAGAACCTGGTGTCGTCAACCTAAGGACCCGCTCTTGCACGCGTTGTATCGATTGATTCCCAATTCACTAGAGGATCAGAGCAAGAGTGGGGTTGAGTCGTGTGCGTAATCCTTGACTTTGTAATGCCAATGCACGGACCTTCAAAGATACCTTGAAAGGCTGCCCATTTCTCGAGGAGATGTATCGTATGGAGCTGGCCGGTGCCAGTTTCAGGGCACAACTGATCTGTCGGGAAGGACTCCAGCCTGGACCAAAAGAGGAGCGCACGGCCACCCGGCCATGGGTTGAGTAAGATCATGCAGATACCGCTCTACCTCCTCCTCATTCTTGAGAGTCGAACGTCCCGTGATCCTTGTCAACTGTTCACTCAGCTGGTCTTCAAGTAGCTGCTGGTCCGACAAAGAGTTCGCAGTGGTGGTCAGCTCGGCCCGGATCCGAGCTCGCAGATCGCCCTCCAGCATCTTTTCGGCTAGATGGGCATGAAACGCTGAGCTATACGGCCCCTCGCAATGAGGCCAAGCATGAAGAGCCACGATCGCTCGCCAACGGTCACGGAAGTCCGGCGATAAGACGGCTACCAAGAATAAGGGTGAGATAATCCCGTTGTCGAACATGATCGCCGGCCGTTGGGGGCCAAGTTTTGCGATAATCGCTTCGGATGTCGAGAGAATTTGCTGACATTCAGAAGCAATGCTCGCGATGTATGCAGGTCCAGGGAGCGCGAAGATCGTGCGCAGACCCAAACAGAGCCAATGGAGATTGACCTTTAGTATATCGGCCCCCACCTGGTCCCTGAGTCCAAGGGAGGCGTAATGTCGGAGACGAAAGTCCCGCATGGCCCGCTGAGCTTGATCCACCAGCGAGAGGAGTGTCAACTGCTCGCGGTACAACGAGGCGTAGAGAACGGGATCGTGCTCTTTATCAGACGGCCAGGCCCGCCTCATGTACTCATGCGTCAGTGTCGTGAGGGGATCAAGTGCCCTGCGTCCTTCCGCAACGCTCCGGATTGTTCGCCACTGTGCAGCAGTCGAATCCAATCGGGCCTCTTCCCGAATCTCAAGTAACGGTGCCTCGCAGCCGAATTGTGTCGAATGTATGTCGAGATGTCGTAAAGCAGTGACGATGTGCCAGTCGACGGGCGATCCCTGTCGGTTTCGGAACACCGGCTTGCCCTGGCGATGAAGCTCATTCAGAATGCGCAGGCCGCCCTGCAGGTGCAGGAAGGCTGCGTCGAACTCCCTCCAGACCAAATCCAACATGACAAAGAGGATACAGCAAAGCAGTACCACCTGCGGCAAAAGTGGGTCCTGGGGGTTCCGTTGCCTGAGCAGGGCAAACGCGCGCGCCGCCTGATCGGAAGCGAACAGGTTCCACGGACTCTGCTGTTTCTGCGGGCGCAGCCCCATGCCGGTGATCTGACACTCCTGGTGAGCAGCCGCCAGCGCCATCGTAGCGTGACAGACCGCCGGGTCCAGCTGGGCCATCTGCAGCACTAACTGGTGCCACAACGGGGAATCAAATGCCCCCAGAATATCCGGGATCGTGCGTCTTTGGAAGAATGCGAAACATCGTCGTTCATCGGCTGTGGTGATGCAGCGGATCTTGGTTGTGACCGTCAACGGCAGCTGGGAAGATAGTACCCGCTGCCGTTGAGCGTTGTTTGGGCGAGGTAAAGGGGAGGGGTCGTAGCCCTCGCATATTCTTCCTGTGGAGGTGCAGTTGTAGCAATGGCCAGGGGTCTCGTCGCATTTGACCCGACGTGCGCTTGTCATCCGATTAGTTTTGATCCGATCATATCCATGCTCATAACGGCCGCTAGCGAGGAGGACCCTTACCGGCAGGTTCGACAGCCCGTGCGCGACCGTGTGCCGCCTGACCGACGTCGCTTGTAAGAAATAATAGCTTGGGCTTCGCTGCTCTCGAGATGATACATTTCTTGTAACTTGTGAAGGATGGGGGGAGGGACGAAGGATCACAACGGACCGGTCCGTTCAACAAAAACTTGGATCGATGGAGACTCGGTTAAGTGGCGTGTCGGTCCTGGCCCCTCAGGAGAGCCGGTCGCAACACTATCGCGTTAGGTTGGCGATAATTCGTCCTCGGGCCCCATTTCTACTTACTCCGTAGTACTAGTACCCATGTAGTTGGTGGATCTTCATCTTTTCGGACATTCGACCACTCGGAATCCATTTCCAATAAGAGACGCGGCAAGTCATTTGTCAAGCCACGCTTGGCATTCTCTCCTCGTTGATGTTGATCTGATAGGTGAATTGCCTCGCATCGAAGTCCATCTTCGCCCCTGGCCTTCGCAGTGGCATGACGGGTAAGAGCCCGGGTGTAATGTATTTGTAGGAAACATGGTGAGTTAGCATGAAGAGATTGGAAGAGGAGAGATAAATGCTGATGGAAAGAGCAATTGGGGGACTGAGGAGGAAGCGGCAGCTGAGGCCGCCTCGGCTGACTAATATCTGACTGAAAGTCGGTTCTCTGGTTAGGGAGCTGTCCATGTACTCGGTAAGTTGTAAGTCCAATCATTGGATTGCAGTAGTGAGTGTTTTTTCAGAATGTCCTCCGTGAGGGCTTGTCTAAATCCTCTCCTAGATATATGAGCTCCCTAAGCAGAATTGCTAATATACAAACCTCCGAGCCCTACAGATCTCATCCCAAAACTACCCACGAAACTCCGAACCACCTACCCGTACCCCATTACCACCTCCCAAGTATGAGCGCAAACCCACAAACGCCGTACTAATACATACAATGAAACAGATCAGGCTCGCCAACGCCTCTCACAAGCAAGTGCTCTAGGCCATACAGGCATGCATTGCTCCTAGGCTCAAGTCAATCTTTGTCATCATTCAGCAGGACCTTCAACTTCTCCAACTTGTCCTCGCATTTCACCTCCAGCCGCATGACCACATCCCTACTTTCCTTCCTAGTGATGAGCAGGTGACACACCAGCCAGAAGTTATAACCGTTCTTGTAGAACCCCATGGAAGCCCATTCGTGGTTAGATACGGCACTTTGCAGCGTAAGCCAGTGTTCGCGCCAGCGGGCTAACGCGACGCGAATAGAACCCAGCACGGAATTCTCCGGCGCGTTCTGTGACCGAGCTTTGTCGGTTGATGCAGGATCTGAAAGCTGGGTGGGTTGGGGTGGGGACTGGGATTGGGGCTGGTTGGATCGCGTGACGGAGGCAAGAGTCATATAGGTATCTATGAAGGCGTATAGGACTATGATATGATTAGCAGTTGAAGCGGTGTTGAGTTCAGTGTGGTCATGACGTACGGTGGATGAGAATGAACATGTCAAGGATATTCATGTTTGGAAGTATCCCACTAGCATTCGTCGAAGAATCTGGAGAGAGTGGGAATGACATGTTTGGAGCGTTCGATCCGTCGAACAGACTCTGAAAAGCTTCTTTGATGGTAAAGCCTCGAGAATAATGGAATCCGATGTCTGTGTATGGATGTTCTAGATTGAAAAGTGCCTCTTGGCAGGGAAAATCACAATCCATTTCCACATGCGACAGGCGACATGGGTAGTTCTGGAAGAAGCAAAAGGCACAGTCGAGAAGAGAGATAATGGAAATAGTTCTATCAGGATTAGCAAGTAGTTGCGATTGAGCACTTTTTGTGAGGCCATTACCGAATGCGACACTCTGTCTGAATCCATTGCTGCTCCGAAGTAACGTCGGGGTGTTGGTGGCGACACTTGGTAAGGTTCATTCGACGAGCGACCTTCTCAGTCAGTTAGTAGCCCATTCCCCATGCGATAGGCCGGTAAATAAACATACCTTGGTGATTTCACTAAATCGGTTCTCCATGGCTCGATTGTGCGACATGCGAGAGCCTGACCAGTATTGCACAATACATATTATGAAACCGGCTTGGAAGTTCAAAAACTGGACCCAATCGTCTCCCTCATGAAAGACGTTGGTTTTTCCCTTGCAAAAAGTGGAGGCGATATCGCTTTCTGGAGAGAAAACCTCGGCTGAGAAAATGTAAAGCTCCACGAAGTCCAACAATTGCTTGGCAGCATACGTTTCCTGTTCATCGTTCGAATACATGGCACCCATGAATACCAATCCTGCCAGTAAAGGCAGCGGAACGGTATTCAGTTGGAGCGAGGCAAGGTGGACCATGGCGCAACTCGGATGCCAGTATCTGGCATACATCCAGACAAACTTCTGGATGCGTGCTGTCGTCAACAAAAAGCTAGCATTAGCGGCCAATCGCTGCTTCGCGTTAGCATCCAGGGGAACGGCCCAGGCTCTTGATAGAATCGCTTGCGAGAGTGCAGCAGCATAGGGCTGCTCCGGTCCATACGGCGGTTCGCTGGGATGCGTCACGCTAAATTGGCCTGGCGGGAGGCCCGCGCTGAACTCAGACCCTGTACTATACTGAGACGTGCCCATAAACTTCGGTGGGCCCTCGAACGGACCGTTGAAGAAATCAAGAAAGTTATCGTGGAAAAAGGAGCGTGCCGTAGGATCGGCTTCAATGAGTGCCGGGGCGATATCCAATTGATCGAGTCCCATCTGATAGTCCAGCATTGTAGACCTTGCTTCCTTTAACCCCATCTGAGTATGATATTTCATGCCCCGACTGCGGTCGCTGCAAGGAGGGAGCCGAAACTCTTCGGTAAAGCTGTCGGAGCCACCATTCAGAAGAAAGCTGATCGAACCGCGATCTGAGGTCCCAACGTAGTCCTCGCGATTGTTCGATTTTGCGCCTGTGTCTAGCTCGAGACCAGCGGTCTGCTTTTTACGCTCATTATTGCACGGAAAATTTCTCTTCTGGCAGGAACCACAGGGACTTTGCCCGTCGCATCGCAGCTTCATGGAGGTGCACTATGACGAGAGAGAACTTGAATTAGAAACCATGCGCTGACGCTCCAGAAGCAGACGGCAGGAAAGGTGAGGAAGAAAGAAGTGACTTGCCGACTGGCAGGCATGTCGTCGCCTGCCCCTCTGCCCCGTTTCCGGGATCTTTTGGTCTCCGCGCTTGTCGCAATCCGTGTAGTGGTCGCGGAGATTATCACTATGAAAAGACGCGTGGCCATCAGCAACAAAGCACGCGGAGCTCGTACGACGCGGGGTATGAGGGACTGAATCAATTACAGCGCCCCGAGACATACGCACCAACGCGCGAACGACTCATTGCAGAAAATGCATGAGTAAGGCTTGACACCGGAGTCTATCCGAAACCCGAGAGTTCGTCCAGAATCAGTGAGCTGTGGTGGAAGAGAACGGGCCCAGAGACATGCAATGACCGGGGGGTCGTGGGAACAAGGGAGTGATTGGACTTACGTCGGAGGTGATGGCGTTTGAGATGGTCAATGCGCGTGAAACCTCGCTGACAGATGGTACAACAGAAATGCTTGCTTGAAGCAGACTTCATGGTAAGTAACTGGTGTGCATCGGGGAGAAATGGAAGGATTTGAGCCTGTGGAGGGCGAGAGTGGGGTAAACGGAGGTGGAAATAGTGGGGTAAAGGAGGGGAGGGATATGGGGAGGGGATCGGGGCAAAGGGCAGATCGGGAGCGGGCGGTGGAAACTCGGACGGAGCTGGTGGTGATGATGCCAGCAGTGGAGACGTGCCGGTAAAAGCGCTCAAGAAGCCCGGTCGATCGAACCGGGAACGACACGTCTGAACTGGTAGTCCAAAGAGAGTGGAGAGGTTCTGAAGGAGGATGGATGGATGTCTAGAATGAAGAAGGTATTAAGACAGATGCAGTCAACATGAAACAAGTACAGTACGATGGAAAGAGAAGAACAAGAGCGAGATGGATGGATCTTTTAAGAAAGAAAGAGTCTTGGCATGACAGACAGGTTGGACGCTGGACGCTGGACACTGAAGTCTAGAGAGGTGGATTATTATTGATGGACGGACTGATTGTTTGATGGACTGATGGACTGCTGGTGGTGGTGGTGGTGGTGGAATACATACATATCTCTTCGTCTCTGCAATTCTGCTGCTTCAGGCGCCCAGGCTCATGGCTGCCAGTGGTTAGAGCTGGAGGGGCTGCATTTCTTCACTGCAGTTTCCTTCCCGCGCTCGATAAAGTCGCTGGTTCGCCTGCACACGCTAGACCGTTTTGGTTCCCAGTCCCGCCCACTGCAGCAGTGACTGGCACTGACTGCACTTTTGCACCCCCACAATTTGCTTCCACTCGGGCTGGGACAACCGGACAACGAGACCGACAATTAAGCCTCGACGTTTACGCAGGGAAACTTTAATTTCTCTCTTCTCTTCGCATTATCCTCCTCCCCCCTCCCAATCTCACCTCCCACGAGTGACGTCCCACTTGCACTACCAACCTTGGTAATCATCTCAACTCTACGGAGTACGCTGTAAAAGCAGGACTGCCCGTTGTTGTACCTCTGGCGACTTGCTTGGTCCAAACGCCACCAAAGTCTAACCCACCTTGGGCCACCGTTGCTCCCCCAGCTCTCGAACTCACACTAAACGCTGTACAACACGCTCGGATCATCCGGTAGGCTGGAGATCTCTGGTTAATAACTACAGACGGATCTTAATTGTGAACAGAAAGCTAGAATGTCATCATAGGTAATCAGATTTCCATAGAAAGGAAAAACAAAACGGCAGAGTCGCACGGGTACAGAAACCAGCCACTCCCGAAGTCAAACACAACCCCCCCTTCCCTACCTTCCTCTAACTATTATTGATTGCCCATCACATAGGCAACTGGAGGGAAGTCCATCTGGTCGTCGTCAAGATAGTCGACATTGATAACCTTGTTCTTCTCATTCATGGTCCACCCGTCGCCAATCCAGCCATTTGGGTTGTTGTCGACATAGTCATACGTGTAATCCTCCCAGCGTGGGTGCGCGAGCGTCTTCAGAGCATGGAGCGACGAACCTGGAATGGTAAGAAAATGCGCACAAATCATAAACCCAAGAAGAAGGAA